TTTCGGAGACCTTCCTCCTGGCTGGCGCCGACTGTCACTCAATCTAGCTTTATTTTTGTCATTTTGGTATTACATTATAGCTATATTACATATTGGGATATAAGTATATATTTAAATATATTACAACATATAAATATATAATTTTATATATTTATCATAATAATTAATATTTTTATAATAAAAGGGGCGTTTGATCCGAAAAAGTTAGCTACGTATAATTGAATATAGAAACTTATAGTTTTAAGTAGTATTTAATCGTTGATATCATCTGCAAGAAAACTATGTTTGAAAAATGAAATCTGTAATAAAGGACAAATATTGCCATTGTGTAGAGAGACGCAGGGAGAGACAAAGCTTACCTTACTGCCGATTGTCCCCAATTGTCATCCGTGCTTGTCAACCATCGATCCCAGCCAGTTTCTTGACCTTCTGGTGACTCCGACATTGTCTTACTCTTGTGTAATAGCTAACAGGTTTTTACTTTATACAAGAATTTAGATAAGTTATAAACTCTATTCTGATTTAACCAATACACTAGCGGAATAAACGTGTTCTACACTAGAAGCTCATTTTTGTTCTTTTATATTATCGCTGTATGAAAAAGTGAAAGTTGTATAAGCTTATGATTTTGCTTTGTTTTTAAAATGTATCGATATTGGTTCCATATGCTTGAATTGAATATTACACCTTACTCCTATATATTTTATTGCTTAAAAAGGAACACAATAAACAAAGAAAAAACTACAATTGCAAAATGATTTGATAACTAACTAAGGAAAAAAACAAAACAATATCAAAAAATGATGATGATAAAAAATTGAATATGTCTGCCAGAAAAATGCTTCTGTGAATTAAAAAAATAAGAATAATTACAAAATTAACATATAAACTTTAAACAATCGCAATAATGTATTGAAAATCAAATAGTTGTTATCTACATCGCTTCTTCTTTCTTGATTCCCTAAAATTTATTATGAGTAAACTGAAAAAGATGGAGCAAATCTTTGTAATATCTTTTTTATTTCTCGACATTTTTTACACAGATCCAGGTAAGCTTACAATTATTATCCATAATGATAAGGAACAATTTGGATTATATATTAGAAACATAAGGTAATAAGATCAAATCCTAATAAATAGGAGGCATCTTACGGTAACAGCGTTGTTGCCATCATCATACAAAAGTACTGAATGTGGAAAAATATTGTAGCAAAGTATTTATTATATCTTATATACAGATTATTAATTTATAATTGTTTATATTATTTATATTTTACTACTCTGGAAACTTTCCTCATTGCTTATATCTTTAAAACGTTGATTTTGTTTGTGCCTTAAATAAATTGCTGTGTCATTCTGAAGTTTGTCTCTCCTAATTTTCTACATGACAATATTATAGAATGTTTTCCATGACACAGATAACAGTAATAACTATTTAAAAACATGCTGGGATATATCTTATTATCCAGTACTTGTGTTTAATGATGGTGTAACAATTAGTAACAAAAGCGTCACTTAATATTTATTCATTTGGATTTTATCTTGTTAACTTGTTTTTTTTTTTTCTTTTCTTATAATTAAGCGACACTTCGGTCAGTAAGTCTTTTTAATTCTCTCGGCGTTTCGACAAAAATCGAGATAATAAAAAAGATTTATTGGCCCGAAATGTCTCTTTTTATTATTCCAAGGTCATGGAGATGCCTGAGAATTAGTCCATAAGTCTCCATGATGGGGAGCTGCTGTCGTTGGTTGGTTATCAAGGGAGTTGACAGTCAGACTTTGTCCCACCTATGTCTCTTAATTCTAAGAACTATGAATGCCGGCCAGACTACCTCTATCTTCATTGCTACCTTGTGTTTATTATCAAAAGATTAATCGCTCTGTATAAAGTTGATTATCATTCAAATCTTGTTTTAAGCATAGTTATATATAATGTACTAGCGCGCCATCTGTTATCAAATCAAGTAAGGGCAGTAGAAATTGTTTAATTTCGCGTTTAAAATAGTTTCGAATTTTGATAGTTATGTATCATGAAACCCAATAGTTGTGGAACTGGATGAATATTTAAACACTGCATGATCGTATTTGAATGATATAAATGGAAATAAGTAAATTTCAGTATCTTAAAAATAGTAATTACAGAGGGTGTTCACACTTATAGGGGGGGGGGGAACAAGTTTTATTATAAAAATATTAAAAATTGACACAATATTTGAAATTTTTCAAATGTTCTATTTGAAAGCCTTTTTGTTTATTTACAGAACGGCACCTGATTTTCCACGATAGCAGACACTTTCTGATCATGGTCATACTCAAAAGATCCCATTCTTCCCTTACCACTTTCCAGAGCTAATCTTACCTATTTGGACATAATTAAAATATGCAAACAAGATGATATCAACATTTCTAAAAAAGGTATTTATAATATTATTAACGACAAAAATATCAAGTTTTTATTCAAAGCACCTACGGAGAAATGGATAAAAGATTATCACCCCTATATCTGTGAGAACTCCTGCAACTGTAAAAAAGTGAAAAATATATTACAAAAAAAATCCTATGCCACAAAGAGATATAGCCAAATTAATAGGAACATTAGTGTCAACAATAAATAAAATAATAAATAAAGATTTTGGCCTAAAAGCTACAAGAAAACATGCGGTTCGCAAATTGTTTCAGAGCCATATTCGTCAGCGACACACTATCAGCAGATATTTTTATGAAAATTTCTTGGCTGCTAATAGATGGAAATTTATTGTTACATATGACGAAGCATGGGTATATTTAACCGATTGCGAGAGAAAAAGAGCTATATACTATCAAAAAAGGGTGTAAAAATCTAGGCCAATTTGGTTGAAGGAATGTGCCGAAAGTTACCCCAAAGGATTTATGGTGGCATGCGGTATATCATATGAAGGAAAATTAAAAATAAGAAAAGTTGAAAGAAATGCCAAAATAAACTCGGAGTACTATCAAAACAACATTTTAGAACCTATATTTTTAAATGATATTCCCTCTATCTATGGAAAACAGAGCAACAAAGTCTGGTTTCACCATGATAACGCCACAAGTCATACCTCATCTTCAACCCAAGCTTATTTGGAAGATCTAAGGCAAAGAACAGAATTCAACACTATTCCAAAAACAGAACCCCTGTAAAATCTCCTGATTTAGCCCAGATGGATTTTTGCATTTTTGGATGCCTTAAAAGAGCACTTGGAAAGAGACACCCTAGGACAATTGAAGGTCTCTGGAAAGTGGTAAAGGAAGAATGGGATCTTTTGAGTATAACCATGATCAGAAAGTGTCTGCTATCGTTGAAATTCAGGTGCCGTTCTTTAAATAAACAAAAAGGCTTTCAAATAGAACATTTGAAAAATTTCAAATATGGTGTTAATTTTTAATCTATATATATAAAAATGAATGTTTGTATGTTTGTTTGTATGTCCGGTATACAAATTCGCAGTAGTTCACTAATTCAAAACAAAATTTCCATACATAGGTAAAAAAATACAGGGAAGACGATTGGCTATTTAAAAATATATATAAATCAATTATTAAAATTATATATTTTCAGTCAGAAAAATGATGATGACGATATTGCTGTATCATGTTTGATTATCAGATACAAAATCATATCGGGAAAAATTCCAAAAAGCAGAGACCACGGGTGAAACCAGTTCATTATTTTGTACGCAGGAACAAAATTCTAACAGAAAAACATTCATTCGAGCAGAAAACAAAAGCCAGATCATCTTTCTACAAAAATATCGCTTCTCAGACACAAAGTTTGGAGCGGGACGTTTCACAAGAGTGACATCCACGGCGCCAATTTATAATTGTAACGAATAGTATTTGAATAAAAACATTTAATCGGGTAAAACCCGGGCGTTGCCCGGGTCATTCGGCTAGTATTTTATAATAAAACTTGTTTCCTATAAGTGTGAACACCCTCTGTACCTTTTATTCGCGATCGAACGTTGTGGCCCATTGTATGCATTACATCCCAAACATGATGCGACGCCAGCCATCTCTGTCTTGAGCTCAATGTACCTTCGACATTCATACAATGGGCGTTCATGGGAAAATGAATTCTGTGGTGGGGTCCCTTCCACAGACCTGCTGGGACTTAGCTGGGGTGGTCGACTCATATCCACGTCTCGGGAGGATCCTTCACGTCTTGAGTGGCCCTACCAGGATCCTAAGAATAGCTTAAAAATAGCTGTATTGAAATAGCTGATCATTGAAATCATTATAAACATTAAATATTTTTACAATATATAATTTATCTGCGACAAGGGCTTATTGTACATTCGGTGCACCGTCTGATATTATTATTTTTAATTTTTATTTTATTTACACTTTTGTCGTTCATTTAAAGATCTCTTCATCATTAAATGACACGAACAAGGCACCTCGGTTGGCTGGTATTGTGATCAGGGTGCATGGTCCGATCTGATCTGCTCCATGGACAAGATCCCACCACCACGCACCTCATTAGACGACACAGTTATGACCAAGTTATCATCTAATATAAAGTCATCATCATCAGTCCAGACAGCCATCATATTGTGGTGTCCCTTGTGAGTAATCTAGCTTAAAAGAGGAAAGAAGCCAAACGGTGTCTGGTGAAGAGCTAATTGTCTATTTTTCTGAAATTCTAATAATTTACGGGGAGAAACGAGATGTAATCTAGTTAAAAATGAAAGTTTATCAATTTTAGTTCTACAAGGTTGTCCCAAAAGTTCGTAAAAACTTTCAAAAAAAAATTGAAATATCAATTATATTATTCGCCATAATACATGTATTATTCGCCGTTATGTATAATGTCTTTGTATTATGTATTAAGAAAAACAACGTTTTAAGAAAAACACGAACTTTTGGCACATTACAACCACAATCATGAGTCACATTAATATCTAATGATTTTCTAGAGAGAGATATAATATGGTTTTACGGGCTTCTAACCAAAGTGTATGCTTTTTGAAACCGTTAAAAGACGCCCGAGCAGGAGCTCGAACTTTGGGCCGTTAGGTTAAAAGCCTAACGCTCTACCGACTAAGCTACCCGAGCTTTAAAAAATCTCCCCGGCAGGGAATCGAACCCCGGTCGCCCGCGTAACAGGCGGGAATGCTAACCACTATATTACCGTCTGGTAGATTAAATTAGCAAAACCACTGGAAGTTTTCACAACTGATGAGCCAAGTTCTCCCAAAATTGTTTTCATCGAAGTAAGGACAGTAGAAAGTTTGATTTATGTATGAAAGAAACATTCGCGTCCTGATGTTCTTATTTAGGAATTAAAATTTTATTTTTAAAATGTGAAAAATAGTTAAAAAGTGAAATTGTACTGAAATCAGTTGAATAAATTGAGAAAAAGGGCATTATCTGATTGTGAAACTAAAATGGCGCAAGCCATCAAAACACAAGATGCCTTTTTTCTTAATTTTATAGAATGGTTGATGAAATCTTGAATTAACCAGAATCTAACCTACAATTATATGTGGGGGGGGGGGGGGTAGTCTCTATATAATCTTTATTCTAGAGTCACACTCAGTTAAAAAATAACACAGCAGACATATTTGTTAAATATTTTATGTCTATATAATGTTAAACGAGAGACCACGTGCTTCCTCTACATGGCCTACCCTGAATAATTTTACCAAATACCGCTATGAAAGATATGTGATATATGCAACCATTAGCATATGAATAAAACATATTAAGGCAGAATAATGGCTAAATGAAATGAACGCCATACAATTGGTCAACCAGTCACGAGTGTTGCAATCTAGCCATGGCAAGACGTGATCTTTTGCATGATAATATGGTGCTAACACGCCATCGTCTGTTTTGTAATTCGCCATCTTGTTCAGCTCAATTTTATTTGATTTCAATTCTAAACTATATTATTAAAATACAAACATTTGGTATCCATGGAAAAGTTTCTTTTTTACGTATCTTTTATTTATAAATATCTCTAGCTTTCAGGCAAGAAAGCCCTTCTACAGGAGAAAATATTTTACATTGAACCGCCAATAGAATAAGAATTAAAAGCAAATAAAATGCTTCGGGTGGCGTTTTGTTTGATTTTAATTCTTATTCTATCGGCGGTTCAATGTAAAATATTTTCTCCTGTAGAAGGGCTTGCTTTTCTGAAAGCTAGAGATATTTATAAATAAATTATTGTATTATTGGCTCATTGTATTAATATTGATTCAAGGGATTATTTTATAGAATTCTAAATTATATTAACTGCAAATATTATTCTTTATGAGATAGAAAACAAAATTTCAATTTAAATTAAAACCTCTATTACAATCAAGAGGAACAGAAAATTATTCGAAGTATATTTAAATGTCAAAATAACTGCTCTTCACCTTTTCTATGTCTGAACTTTACAGAAGGGAGACATCAATTGTTCCTTGATCTAAATGATTTAACTCTCATACATCTACCACTTTATCTATTCGTATATACATTTTATGAATTCTGTCGATTAATACATGTAAATTTATAAATATTTAATTCTAAGTTCTAATTTGTTTGTTGTTTTGTTTGTTTTATCTGTAATAGGCGCAAATATTTCAATATCGTGCCTGATTGATTAAAAAAATAATAATAACGATTAAAAACATTGGAGATTTAAATATTTTAGGGTCGTTTCAGTAATCAATTCTCTCCTAGCTATTTGAAGATTTTCACGGTCTGAAATAAAATATTTACCTCCCATTTGAACTAAATGATAGACCGAATGTATACGCCACAGGGCGAGCAACCATTGGGCCATCCTTCTGGATAATCCTCCAATGGGCGATTACCTCCATGAGCGACCACCTTTGTCGAAAAAACTCCTTACATTACCTCTAATGAGAGACCACATCAAAAAATCCTAGGCATAAATGTCTCGAATAGATAAAAACAATATATGTACACGGATACATAAGGCAGAGAAAAGAAATCTTAAGGAAATAATTTCAATTTATTGTAAAACGACATTTGAAAATTATCCATATGTGTTTCTTTACGAACGGAAAAATATGTCCAGGGTAGCCTAGTAGACATGGCATCTACCCGGTAAGCGGAACACTGTGGGTTCGATTCCCATCCCTGGACGCTTTATTTTTCCGTTTATCATCACTCTTCACAATTAATCCTTTAATAACTCATCCCTAAGGTTAGAAATAATCGTTATTTCTCCTTAAAATAAATTTTGATTTTTCGTTCAAAAGAAAGACATGCGGGATAATTTTCAAATGTCGTTTTACAATCATAAGCCGCATTATATTGTATTATAAATTTCAATTTAAAAACGAACACAAGAAATCAGGAAAAGATTACATTTCCGCAACAAAAAATGTTTCTTTTCGCAACTATGTGTTGCATAGAAAACGAACGTATTTAACACCTGAAAACTAATTACAAGCCTCGATGTCACACCATCGATATGGTTGCTAAGGAAAACATAACCTTTTCTCTGTGGAGGCGGAGTTGTGAAGTTCCAGTTTAGAGGCTGTTGTTGAGGTAAACATTTGGAGACTGCTGCAAACTCCCCGAAACACGTTCGTGGTTGATTTATCAAGAAATTGGGTCGGCCAAATATCACGGAACAAGTTAAATAAACGTTTAGTTTATTTTTGTTCCATTAGATGGCGCAGTGCCATCTACAAATGCTCATGTGAGCCTGGTTAGGATATGTCTCTTTTATTTATATATATTGCCACGGGGAAAATTAGGGAAGACAAAAATTCAGGAGGAGACAACAATTTATTTGAGGCAAGGACAAACTATGAATGGCAAGCAAAAGATAAGCCACGAGGGAAATTTACAGAGTAGCAAAATATAATCATAAAAATGACCACTCTGTTAATAAAAATAATAAAATTAATGAATACTTTGTTACAATATGATTAAACAAAAAATATTCGTTGGGCAAAAATCCACTCAGGCAAGTCAGAGCGAAGCTGGGCAATTTGACTAGTATAAAATCAAAGTAAAGCCTTCTGACCCCCCGCATCTCATACAAAATAAATATTTCTGTCAATATATTGCTGGAAGTCTTCTCAACCTGCATTCTCTACAATAGGGAAGAGGGTGTTCAAGACCATCTACTCTCATACACATAGAACATGATCAGGAATACAATTGGGAGACCAAAAACTGGATCCTAATCAATTATGGAAAAGTAATAAACAAAGAAAGAACTTTCTTGCTTTACAATAGTCGATAAAGCAGCGCAATATCCATTGGAAGTATTGCCCGAGACATCCATGAGGCTGCCGATAAACTTGCCAAGACTTCCATGAATTCATTTACAGATTTTCCTTCTCATTCAACAAAATTACAAAATATTCGAGAATGCAAACTTATTGATATCAGTGATCTATAGAGACAGTTCGACTTTACACTTATAGCAGGAGATCAGAATCCAGTTTTATTAATTGCACTCGCTAGTGGTGTTGAACACATATACTGGAGTAAACTTGTTGAATGATAAGTTTAGAGTCTACAAAGATTGTCGTCCCACTGTGGTGACAATGTAGAAAAAAGGACAGACTAGTTATATAGAAACTTGTCGTAATTCGACACTGAGGTAAAACGGCTATCGACCATATCGAGCTATGATAGGAAAGATAGACAGTAATTACCAAATTTATTGAGTAAATTGCTAAGAATATATTTAACGTGTTAAAAACAACAAATACATATCCTGACCGCGCTCACATGATCATTTTAGATGGTAGAACGCCATCTAGTGGAACTAAAATCAACTAAACATTGATTTAACCTGTTCCGTGATATTTGTCCAATCCATTTTCATGATAAATCAAGAAAAGCAAACGACGAACGCATTTCGGGATGTTGGTTCTCGTCAGCGTGGTGCAAGCTGTACCTCTACGACCAAAAGGTGTGTCTCTATAAATATCATCTCAACATTGAACTGAGAGCGGTTCAAATTGATCCTGTCTTTGTCTGAAGGAGGATTCTCTCAAGATGGAGGAGACTACCTTCCTGAGAACAGTTTTTTATTTTTATCACCAAATTGTAAATAATATTATTTTTCTTTGTTTAATTTCTCGTTAATTTTTATAACAATTAACTAAGAGTGTCAATTATATATTTTAAATTGTTAATTGTCTACGACCAAAAATCTTTTGGTTCCAGAGGATTCTTGAGAAATCACAAGAAATCTCATTTTTTCACATATATAACGTGGGACATTCAACTTCAGTTGTTCACCAATCGACACAAACTCAGCTGAAGTTACGTGCCCTGAATTATTTTCTAATTGTCAATATTCAGCCGAGGACTTCTGAAAACATCCAGAAAAAAGCCGCTTCAAAGAAATTGTTTCTACATTTCGAAATGTGAGATTATATCTTACTCTACATCGGCAATCAAGTCTGGTTTATCATCACTATTTTAAAAATGGATAAATACTTGGAGGCTGTAGAGGGATATTAGAGATGTGAAAGAAAAATTGAAACTATTCTACCTTGATTTCCTACCATATGCCTTCATATAAATATATCCCATTTAGCATACTCAAGGTGAAATTTATTTTTGAATGCACTCTGCTATAGAGTTTATAATTCCTATATATTTTTTGTTGCTGATCTATTGTTAGCTTTTCCCTAACCTCAATTTTATCTTATGAATAATTCTATAATGCATAATATTACGTGATCAATAGCTTACAATAATTTTTGGTATATAATTGTTACTACAGGATTCATATTTTATTAAAAAGAACAAGTATATACATATTTATAACTATAAATGAGTCAAGTAGACCTTTTTGATGTAATTATTTATTTATTTGTTGGATTTTTTAAAATATAAAAATTGAAATCGAATTCGATGTTTTCTCTTGATAGGTGTGATTTATTAATATGTGTGGGTGTGTGTCAATATATTTTTATGTTTAAACTGATATATCGCCAAGAAATATGAAGGTGATAAGTCCTCGGCCTGACAAAGAGATGGCATTCCAATCGAAAAAAGATTACGTTTCCTCCCTGCGAGCGT